TCTCAGCCTGGGGGATGAGGTCAGATGAGGTCTGCTACTTGTGCTGTGCACAGACTCTCTCCTGGAAACTCCTGGAATATAGAGCTTAGTGGTTCCTGATCACTGGGGATCACATTAGGATCTTCAGTTATATTAGGATCACTTGTGACTCTTCCAAACTACAGATAGTGAAGTGCTGTCCCTGGAGAAAGGTCCTGGGTGGAACCAATCCAGTTTGATTTAACCTACCATAAAGGTTGAGAACTTTGGTTTTGGTTCCAGCTGCTGGAGTGCTGTGGGTCCGGCAGATAATTAACATTCAGTTTTAAGAGTGTAGCCCAATTTGGGTTCAGGCAGATTGATTTTGTATTCTGGATTGTCTAGAAGTGTGTACACTTATTTAACTTCTCTGATGCTCAATTGCCTTTTCTGTAAATGGTAATAATATTAACCTCCTCTTCTCCCCACCCCATGCTGCTATCAGGTTTATATGAATCAATGTCTGCATGCCCTGTACAAGAGAACCACATGGGAGCTATGAGCATTATTGTTATTTATACTGTTGTTTAGAATAATGATGTCACCCTTTAAATAAATGATGTAGATTCATAGACAACATACTAAACTTCAGTATGAATAATGAAATATAAATGTTTGCATTATAAACAATAACAATTTACATACATTGTCAGAGCCAAAAGAAAATTTCATAGATCACATGTCACAAAATTCCATTATCTATTAAACTATTGTCACATTAACTTAATTCAGGAAACAAACACGTAATTGCTTGTTATATCTAATTTAACCTGAAAAATGATGTCTCAGGAACTGGTCTTATAATTATGACTCAAATTAACTTTTCTTTGAATGACAGTTGTTCAGTGTTCACCATGTTACTAACACTCAGTTGGTTCAGTCAATGCCCACTTAACTCCACACTGCACTAATGTAGGGGTGTACCTCCTAATGCTGATGCATACCCAAAATGGACAATACCTGAACTCCTAACTTCTTGGTTCATTGAGTTGCACAATATGATGCCCCCATTATGCACCACATCCTTAATGCTCACACTCACACAGCTGAATGTGTTCACAAACATATGGAAATTTGACAGTCTCACTTTAAAATTTTTGACCACCAATTTCAGGTGCTGCTCAGCTATCCAGTGTATTTCCCTTCTCTGGTCACGTTTCCAGTGTCCTGGATGACTATTTTATGTTTTCTCTAAACTTTCAGTGCTTCTTCCATCATCCTCACTGCCAGCTATTGAGTTTGCTGGTCATTTCACTTCGAACCTAGAGCATCCCAGAACTCCACTCTGCAGTCTACCCACCTACCTGCATCTGAGTCCATACACCCACCTCTGATCCTGATGTTATGGAGGTGGTGATGGTCAGCTCCTAGGAAACCCAACCCCTTATGTGCACAGACCCTCATCCCTGTCAGGACACTGCTAGGATAAATCTTTTTTCTCTCATTCATCATAATTTTCCCTTTTCTGTATCTTTTGCATCATGCAACATACTGGAATTTCTTCTGTTTTAAAAAAATACCTTTCTTGACCCCATATCCACCCCATTTCTCTCCCCCACCCATAACAGCAAACTCCTTGGAGGAATTATTTGTACTTCCTGTTTCCTTTTTTTTTCTCCCATTTTCTCTTAAACCCAATCCAAACAGATGTTACGGTCACAATTCACTGAAACTCCTCATGTCCTGTCACGAATAACTTCCACAGTGGTAAATCTAATGATCTATTGTTGATCCTAAATCCACATGTCTTATTGGCAGCATTTGACACATTAGAATACTCACTTCTTCAATTGCTTTCTTCACTCAACTTCAGAGACTGAGTACTCCTGGTATTCTTTCTACTGCACTGGATGCTACTTCTCAATTTCCTGTGTTGTTTCTTGCTCTCCTCAAATTCTTAACATTACAGTGTGTAAGGGCTTAGCCTGGGTTCTCCTCATTGCTTGATCTGCATCTCCTTCCTTGGTGGTCTTGGGCTTTAAATACCATCTTTGTGATGACAATTCCCAAACATGTATGTTCCATCTGATCTCTCCCTTAAACTCCCTTAAATTCCCTTAAACTCCAGGCTTGTACACTCCACACCTTGCCAGGTATCTCAGTTAAATATCTGTGTAATGGTTGCTCAACCTTAATGTGCACAAAACGGAACTCTCAATATTCTTTCCAACTTGAGCTTTTCATAGTATTCTCCTTTTCAGCTCAAAGTCAACTTTGTTCTACCAGTTGCTCAGGCCAAAAACCTGGAAATAATATTTGACTCCTTTTCTTCTCACATATCCCCCAACATGCAATCCAACAATATATCATGGGTCTACCTTGAAACATGTCCATAATTTGACCACTTCTCACCATCTTTATGGCCATTCACTGCCCCCCCCCTTCCACTCCCAGCCATTGACAGCTTAAGCCACTGTCTGGCCTTGCATGGATACTTGCAGAGTGTCCTTAATGGGAAACTATGGGCAATCCACACAGTCTGTTCTCAACATTAACCAGACCCTTCTAAAGTATCAATATAGTGAGATCATATCACTTTGTTCAAAACCTTTCTATGATTTTCATTTCTCTTAGAGCAAAAGCCAAAATCCTCCCAATGATCTGGAAAATCCCATAACTCTATCCCCTTGTTGGCCTCTGCCATCACTCTCTCCCACCCCATTGTTCACCCTGCCTCGGGCATACCCATCTTCTTTGAGTTTGCACCTGTCTCCAGACTTCTGCACTAGCCCCCTTTGTCTCAACCTTTTCATTCCTCACCAAGCTTGGTGCCACTGCCTCTGCATATTCAAAAGACCTGTCAAAATCTTTTTCTAAACATGAGAAATTCTCCTTTTAGGAGATATGCTTACTGTTCTGTGGCATAGAGGGGTAGTACCTTCCTTTATTTTTTCATTCTGCAATAGGCTGAGGGAGGAGGTACAGTGCAGTTTGAGGCTGGAGAGGGACACATGTAGGACTGAATTGTTGAGGAAATTTAACACCCTGATAAGAAATGTTGGCTTTATCCTAACAATGTAAGGTTTGAACCTGCAGGATGGCACGATCAGCATTGCATTTTATTAAATTCACTTTGCTGGTGGTGTGGAAGGAAGATGTTTCAAGGATGGTATGTGAGCAACAGCAGAGGCTGAGATAACAATTAGGAAACAATAGCAATAGTCTAGATGATTATGACCTACTCCAAGGTGGTAGCAGCAAATTTGGAAAAGAGGGCATGATTACTACAGGTAAAATTAAGAGGTAGGATCGATATGAACCGGTCACAATTAGATCTTGGGTATGAAAAGGCATTTGGGATGAACAGAGGCATCCTGGCTTAAATTTCTAGGTAGGTGGTGATTTTAGTCCCAAGAATGAAAATATAATGGGTCAGGGGAGAGAAACTTGGGGATTGGGCAAAATATTAAGTGATGTTTTATACATAATGACTTGGAGATACCTTTAGGACATCCAGGGGAAATTAATAGACAGGGATTAGAGCTGAAGAGAAAGATTAGGGCGTCATTTAGGGACAGAGAAACTAAGTCATGCAAAGTCACAAGCCAACAAGAGTCACAAGGGATCAAACCCAGGCACTCCGACTTCAGAGTCATGGCTGTTAACGACTGTGCTCTGACACAAATGCCTTCCTTCCTTCTTGCTCTCCACCCCCACCTTGAAGGACAGGACTTTGCAAGCTTGTGACACCACTCTCTAAACAAGCTTCTTACAGGGATCTAAATATAGAGTTTCTTAGCACTCACTTTCTATCAGATTCCATAAATGTTTCCTTTCCTTCTAAGAGCCGGGAGTCTTCCAAAAGTGGTCTCCAGTCCTTAATTTATCATCTCCTGCTCATTTTTCAACTTATTCAATTCAAAATTCTGGTTTCTGCCCACAAACTCAATTCAGTCAAGGTCACACACATGACTTCCTCATTGCCAAATCCAAGGGAGATTTTTAGTTTTCATTTAAGCTGTTTATAGTACAGAATTTGTTATTTATATATGTATCCTTTTCTGTACACACACACATGTGAAACTATGTGTGCGTGTGTGTATATTGAGAGAGAGAGAAGGAGTCATGACAGAAATGGAAAGTTTAGAAAACCAGAAGGAAATGGCCAATCATTATTATGCCACACTCATACTGCTCATTCATAAGCATGCTTTTTCATACAGAGTTACAATCTACTCCCAATTCTAAAACTATGACTATGAGAGAAGTATTCCTTTCAGTGCAGGGCTCTCATTTTGGGGAAAAACTGTTGAGACAGCATACTGAATGTGGCTTTGTATGCCAGATATTCCCTCTCTTCTGAAACCACCTTAAAGCAGAAAGTAGAATTAAAAAAACCAAAAAACCCTAAAACTCCATCTTCAGTGAAATAGAACACAGGTAATCCACAGACTGTAACATATGTGTAATGTCCAATAAAGTGAGCTGAAATTAATTAGAGTTCATCTAGAAGGAAGTTAAAAGGGGTACTGAGAAATCCTGAAAGTGGTGGGTTACAGAAGGGTTTCACAAAAACACATTTTCTAAAAGGAAGAAGTCCATCCTCCAGTGAAGAAGCTGCATGGCTTGTTTGCTGCAGTGAGTGAAGAAATCTGGGGAACAGACTGGCAATAAAAATCCTCCTGCACTTCAACTTTGAAAAGCAGTAGATTGGGAGCTAGAGGCAGGAAAACTATGCAAAGCATTACATGGACACGCCACATTTGCAGGAAACGGTCTATCTCTGTGGTAGCAGTACGAGTTCATTTGGATTAAGACACCTGGAAGCTACTCTGCCTCCTCTATCTTGTCCCACTAGATGGTCTCCATGGGCAACAACACACATGGAACTGCCATCCCCTATAACAATGGCTGCTTCTAGAATACCTCCTAAAGGACCTGCATGAGGCTGTTTTGTAATTCACAATTTTTTAATAAGTAGGAGTACACTCTAAAATAATGAAAAAAGTGTAGTACATATATAAACCAGTAACATAGCCATCTATTATCCTTATCAAGTATTATATATTATACATAATTATATGTACTCTGGTTTGTTTACACCAGCATCACCTCAAACAAGTGAGTAAATGATTGTGTTATGGCATCATTAGGTGATTAGGACTTTTTCAGATCCATTATTATCCTATGGGACCATGGTGATGTATGTAGTCAGTCAATGACTGAAACGTGTGACCCATGACTGTATTAGTTTGCTAAGGCTGCTGTAACCAATGTGAGGTGCCAGCCTGGTCATTCTTTCTCTGAAGGATCTAGGGGAGAATTTTTCCTTGTTTCTTCCAGCTTCTTATGGCTCAGGCTTTCTTGACTCATGTCAGTGTCACTCCAGTCTCCGCCTCTGTTTTTACACAGTCATCTCCTCTGTCTCTGTGTCTTCTTGTTTTCCATGTAAGTCCAGTATTCCTCTGCCTTTCTCTTATGAAGGCTTTACCATTGGATTTAGGGCCAACCCAGAAAATCCAGGATACTCTTTTCTTAAGATCCTTAATTTAATTACCTCTGAAAAGACCCCTTTTCCAAATAAGGTCACATTCTCAGAATCCAGGAGTTAGGATGTGGCTATATCTTTAGGGGTAACACCACTCAACCCACTCTTTGCAGGGCGTTCTCTTTCTTTTAGCATGTTATTGTGCCTTCAGTCTTCTCTGAAAGCACTGTAGGCTCTGACTTTGGATCAAATTAGGCCTAGCCCCTAGCTAGCTGTGTGACCTTTAAGCATGTTACTTAACTTCTCTCTGCTTGAGTTGTCTATCCAAACGGAAGCTGTAGATATGCATTTGACAGGATTGTTGTAAAGACTAAATGATGTGTGGAATGCAAAGCTATTTGAGCTCTTCAGTAAATATTCGAAGAGATTGTCTCACTGTGGTTAGCATCTGGAACAGTAGAGACCAGGAGGACTCCAGCTTTTTTCTACGTTTAGTTGTACAAACAGGCATTTAGCCAGGTCCCTCTGCCGACATGTGCCAGTGCTAAAGTACGCCTTGGGGGCTCACTCCAATCTCAGAACTCTGGCCTTGCTTTGAAAGCCTTGCAGCTGGCTGCCACACAATTGGAGCTTCACTATTTTAAGCGTTAGCAGGCAGGTGATCTGAGCTACTGAGCTACGTTAATTTCAGAGCCCCCTGACAGGTTTATCTTCTAACTTTTTTTTTTTTTTAAATAGAGATTAGAGTTTACTCAAAGAGTCAAAGGAAGCTGTGTGGGGAGGTATCTTTGTTTAACATCTGTCTGTCATTTAACACCACTTGTACGGCCACAGGGAGAAAGGACAGCAGCTTGAGAGCTCAATTTAAGCTATAAGGGTCTAAGCAGTGCTTTTTAAGGAAGGCAGATAACAGCTTCCTGTCTGGGAGAGATTACTGGAAGAGAAACTTTGATTCAACATTTCTTTACTCTTTTGGTGAGAATGACCCCCCACTCTACCCCCAATAAATTCCAGGGAGGAGTTATTTGTAGTTAATCAAGTAAGATGTTTTCAGTCCTTGGAAGTCTTTTCTTCAAGGTAAATATTTATTCTCTTCAAAAACCAAGGAGTGTTTAAAACCTTTACTTCTTTAAGAAGAAATGTGTTTTTTTTCCTGATAAAACACTTTAGTTAAATAAAAATTCCCACATAGGCCCAATGTATAAAACAAGAAGAAACTGCTCATGATGGATATGTAAATTTGTTTGACTGTAGTAATTATTTCACTATCTCTGTGTACAGCAAAACATCATGTTGTACATACATCTTAAATACAAAAAATATATATTTTTAAAAAAACGAAGCAGCTTCTTTCATTGATAGAAAAGAAGTGGTGGTCTAGACTCTGAATAACATTGTCCAACATAGGGAACCTCTGGGGCAGGCAGAATCTTCTCTTTGGGGAGCATCACCCTTAGCCCGGGGCAGACTATCACCTGCCTGAGGAAGGGGATGTGGACATTTGGGGCAGCCAGACAATGCCTAAATTGTGATTTGTATTTCAAGTATCCTGTAGTAAAGCTTGTTCTGTAAAACCCCATAATTACGAAAAGCAGCAATCAGATGTCAATTACACTGACTACCTTAGGATTCCAAGGTTAAATGGAGAACAAAAATAAAGCTAGATCCATGGTTGATACCAGCCTTAGGTGCGGTCCTGGGAGATTTGACAGGTATTGGCAAGCGGTTAAGAGAATCTGGCCAGAAGCTCAAACTGCTGGTTCCAATCCTAGCTTTATGGGGACTTGGTGGTCCCCAGACCAGCCAGTAGCATCAGCATCACCTGGGGACTTGTTTTGAATGTACTGAATCAGAATCTGCATTTAACAAGACCCTCATATCATTTGTATATACATTAAACTTTGAGAAACCCTGACCTAGTGAAGCAGAAAGACCCTGCGTGACCCCCAGTAATTCCTACCTCCTATTGCTCACCCCTTCCTGTAACCTCCTTCCCTTAAGTGCGAGTAGGACTTGTGACTTGCTTCTAGCAGAAGGCTGAGAATGGCAAAGGGGAAGAGATTCTGCAGATATAATTTCCCAAATTTGTTAGCTTTGAGTTAAAGGGAGAGTATCTTGTGTGGGCCTGCCTGTGTCAGGTGAACAACACTTGAAAGAGGGACCAGACCTTCCCTGAAGTGAGAGACTCTCCTTTCGGACTTGATAAAATAAATGACCTCTGTGTTGGAAAGGCCCCTAGGACCTGAGGTTGCCCTCTAGCCAATAATCAGCAAAAAGCAGGGCCCTTCACCTTATACTTGCAGAAACACGCTTTCTGCCAACAACCGGAATGAGCTTAGAAACAGATTCTTCCCCGCTTGTGCCTCCAGATGAGAATGCAGCTCAACTGACAACTGGATTGCAGTTTTTTGAGACCCTGGGCAAAGAGCCAGTTAAGACACACCTGGACTCCTGACCCACAGAAACTGCAAGTTAATAAATGTGTGTTGTTTCAAGCTGTTAAACTTGTGGTAATTTGTTAAGCAGCAAGAGAAAACCAGTACTTCTAGGGCAATTTGTTTATCTACTCTCTGAATTAGTTTTGTCAAAATATAAAAAAGGATAAAAATAGTATAACCATGGGGTTATTTTGCAGGTTAATGAATAATATGTGTAAAGTGCTTAAAACTGTGCGTTGTACTTGGCAATTGCTCAGTAAATTGTAGTATTATAGCATTTACCTCATACGGAAAATTACATGGTTTAATACTTTGCCTTTTGAAAACTGCTTTTTAATAGAGCTGAAGCAGTGTGGAGTAAATGAATGAAGGTCCAGGAGTTATGTTGCATCTCATGTATATGAGCTTCCAGGACATGAGTCTTAAGTGTGTCTATTGAATTTGCTTCAGTGAAAATGTAGGTAAGAGCTGCTAGACTTTGTCACTGTTTGTATCAGGCTTGTTCACCTAAAATAATCTATACAAGCATCTGTTGGTTACAATCAAAATTGGGAAAACATGTACCATTATCTTCATTTTATAGACAGGTGGAGCTGTGAAGGAAATGATTTGTCCTTGTCATGGAGGAAATACATGACATAAATGGAATTGAGGTCCAGCATCTTGATTCAAACCTGGATTTAAATAAGCCATTTGCTATTATTTTTGTCTCTCTTTCTTGTCTCAGCAAGAGTTTTCTTGTTTCAACAAAAGGCAGGTTCAGGCCTAGGATGGACTATATAAAATGGGAATTTCTCAGGGAAAATTTCAGCTCTTGCTTTTTTTTTTCTGAGTCTGCACCTCTTAACCTGCCAATCAATAAGCCATCCATTTTTTCCTCTTTGATAGAAACTTTGTTTTGGGATTTGCAAAATGTTAGTTCTGATTATATACTATTGCTTGCAGGTATAAACAATGCAGAAGCAATAGCAGGTCTCCAAGCCTTTGAATGGCAGCACACCTGCTGACAGAACAATAAAATGAGAATGGGAGATGAATTCCATCCTTTCTTCTGACACTCATTTCTTTTTAAGCCTCTACATGGACCTTCATATGCAATGCAATTCCAGGCACTTACTTTCTTAGTATCTCTGTCATTCTTTGTCAATATCTGTGTTACTTTCTTATTGGAATGACCTTTTTATTGTTATTTAGAATTCTGTTCAGATATATATAATTATAATGCCCTTTCAGGATATTTATATTTGGCAGCCTCCTGTTATATTGCTCTGTGTTTTGAAGCTCAATATGCATTCAGGAGTATTTTTTGTTCTACTCTACCAATGACATCCATATTTGGTTCTTGGCATATACTACAAGTGGGGTCACTCTGTAATTGAACTTTCATAAATCATCCTCTGATATGTGCAACCAAATTCCCACAACCTTTTCTTCCCTATGAAACATTTTTTCCAAGTCACTAAATGAGGAGATTTTAATAATAAAAAAAAAGAGCAGGTTTATCTCTCTCAGTATGTGTTTTACTTTTCATTATTTTATCAAATAAAGCTTAAGGTGTTGTTGCTAATGCAAATTTGATATTCTCACCTTGGCAGGAATCTGCATCTATATAAATATTTATATCTTTGTATTAGAAGTTTCTGGATTCCTAATACAGAGGCCAACATCATTAAACACTGTTTTGGTGGCAAAAACTATAATAGAGTATGTGTTTAACCCATTCAAAAATATTGAACATAGCGGAAAAAAAGTGAGCATAAACTTTCCTTTAGACCATCATTAGGGGCAAACAATACAATTACAATGCCAATGATGAATTTGATGATAATAGGCATACCTTCTTTTGAAAATCTGAATCTAGCTCAGTTTATATGTGGACATTTGTAATAGACTGTGTAAGCAAAGATACATGCCAAAAATTTTTAAAGAATCTTTCAGGGATAAACAATACTAGAAAATAATACAAAATTTTGAGATGACAGATTTTCCTTCGGAAAGCTTTCACTGTCACTGTGTTGTCATGATGTCTTAAGGGAAACTGAGACACAATGAGATTAAGCAAATTGCATAATCACATAAGAAACATAGAAATGGTTCAGGTTTTAGAATATATTGTCATATTTATTTCCTGTTGTAATTTGTAATAATCAATTTGAAGGGGGGCAACACAGACTATAAACAGGAATAATATGATGCAGATATACACCTGCACAACTTGTAAGTTGTTAGAATGTTAAAACATGTACTTGTGTAAACCACACTTGTGTCTTACACCCCACCTGGACACCCCAGATCCAGCAACTAAGGCTAACACCTGGTGCATAGTGGCACCTTCAAGCCTCAGCTTCAACTCAGTGTTCAGGCTGTCCTAGTGGTTCAATATTTTGAATGTCACCCGTAGATTAATTTTTTATTTAATAATAACTAATTTTGATGCTGGTGAAGTTTCAATGATACAAATGACCTGAGATGTCTTAAAAACAGTTGTAATGTTTTCTCCTCTTTCTGTTGTAGTGTGTTTCCCTACATTTTCATCTCAAACCCTAAAAATGTCAATTAACCTACCTCTGCTCTGTAAAGTTCCAATCTGGAAAACTACTTCATGGAGTCTGATATTTGGAAATATGAATACCTTAATGGAATTGCTAAGAAAAAAAACCTCTTGCTGAGACAAGAAAGGGAGACAAAAAAAAAAAAGTATAGTTTCTCCACATGCTTTAATACAGCAATCTGAGAACAGAAATATTATCAGAATGACTGGAGAATGCAAGGAATTGGCTACACAGTGGCATATCTTCGTGGTTATGATAAACTGGCCTCAAACACATAGGAATAAATAAGAGTTTTGATCTTCGCTAGAAGATAAACGATGACAAGTTGAACCAAGTGATAAATCTCATGAGTCTTTTTTTCTTTAAGCAAGAGAGGACTAGTAACTGAAGTTTAAAATATTGAGAAATGAATCACCCTTCTCTTTCCAACATGACAATATGACAAGGTTAAAGCAACATTTTATATAGTGAAGATCCACCTTAAATTTCAAACCTATCTGCATGGTTCCAACATCAAGACTAGTTCACAGAGAAGGAGACTGGAGATTGTTCAGGAATTCTATTTTAGGCTAGCTTAATCTCAACTGTATTCTCTATGAAGTCAAGTTGATTATTTGCCCATTATGAGCTCAACTCTTTTCCATCCCTAATCCCCATTTGCCAAGTAAAACTTTCTTCTGGTTGGTAGCTAACTGATGACCAGTTTCATTTTAATCTTTTCCAGGGCTGTGTGTATTCTGATTTAGCATGAAAAGCACAGCCCCATTACCTTTTTCTCCCTACTGATGGGGCTTTTGAGGTCCCACTACTGAATGCTATTGGTGAAACTTTGTCTTTTCTGATACAGTGACAGACCCTAAGAACATGGCCTGACTTTTTAGTCAGTAGCTGAACAATATGATCTCATGTTTCTCTCTTACTGTATTCCCCCACTGGACTTTAAGAAACAACTCAGTTGCATTTTAATCTAAAAATATGGCTGACTTGCTTGACCTTTCTATTCTTCAAAGTCTCTTGGCAAAAATTGGGGTATCGGCTACCTCCTTGAACATTTCGTAGCAAAAGTAGAACATGTTCTTTTTCACCGCTTTCCAACTACCAACTGCTTATCTCAGCAGGAAGCTATGTTGTAGTTGGAAAAGCTAGCCTTCCAATAGACCTAATACTTATTTAACAAAAAAAGCAACCTCTGGGGCTAACCTACAAGCACAGTGAGGCTCAAACATTGTCTGTGCATCCAGCGTGTCTTAAGTATGTCAAAAACTTGTGATTAGAAACCCCAATAGTGGGACTTACAATCACTTGGGCTCCTGAGTGCTTTTGGGTCTCAGAGCTTATACTTGAGACATCTTCGAAATATGAAAAGGAAATAGGAATGTACCAAATGTAGTACAATCTAATGTATAAGCCAAGATCTGTGTCAGAGTCAAGTTGCTTTGGTTAAATTACAATTTTTGAATGCATTTATGTGAAAGTAGCCTTTTATTTTAAAGCTACTAAGCAGAGACTTATAAAAGGTGTACAAAAAAAGAAAGAAGGTGTAAATAAAAGCAAATAAGAATTTTTTAAAAAGATAAACCATAAACTTCTTATGTTTTAGTCCCTTATAGGGTAAAGTATAAAAATGTTGGGGAAGATTTAGATTTTTTTATTGTATTCTAGGTTCCCAGATCTTCTTCCCCAAAGTTCAACTTATTTCTTAAAGCTTCTCTCTTTATTCTCAGAATTATCCTAGAAAATTCATATATCAATTCACTGTAACCCATAACTCACCTAACTTTACTTAATGCCCTAATCCACCAAAGAGAGCTATACCACTTATCTGTCTTTACAAGCTACTGTCTTAGTCTATTCAGGCTGCTGGAAATAAATACCATAAACTTATAAGCAACACCTGTTTTATTTCTCATAGTTCTGAAGGCTGGGAAGTCCAAGCAAGGCACCTGAACATTCTATGTCGGGCGAGGACCTGCTGCAGCTTCTCACCATAACCTCACATGGAAGGTGAGAGAGGGTTTCTGGAGTCTCTTTTATAAGAGCACTAATCCCATTCATTAGGGCTCCACCCACATGACCTGTTCACCTCTGCAAACCCCCACCTCCTAATACCATCATCTTGGGGGCTGGAATTTCAATGTATGAATTTGAGGGGGTACACATGCCTTCATACCCATCCCTCTGCTCTTTGTTCAATCCTCATTTCACATCCTAGTCTTAAATCTCTCCTATCTTTCTATTCTTACTCACTGAAGTAAACATGCTTCTATGCACCTGTTGGTATGGGCTCGCCATTACCAACCAGAAGAGCTCTCTGAAAATTCTTTAACCAATGAAAGTCAAAAAAAAAACAAACAGAAAAAAGGTGAGAAAAATGCTGATTTAATTAACATTTTTGAGCACCACTATATTATGTGTCAAGCACTAAGCTAAGTGGTTTTGCACAAATTTTCTCACTTCACATGAACTATAAGCCACAGTTTATACAGAATCCATTGATCTAATTCTCCACTATAAGGAACCAAGCCAAGAATATGAAAGCACTTTTATAAGTTTCAGAACACTCAGAATAAATGCCAATCTGTAAATTTAATCATTCTGAACATATTGATTGAGTGTCGATTACGTATCAGCCACTCATTCCAAGGACGTAGATGTGGCATGGCACTACTGTCTTAGATTTTAGAGTATAGAGAGTGATGAAGATAAAATATAGACAATGTACTGAAATTATTATGCCTAATTCATTGTAGAGCTTCTTAAATGATGACATAGAATCTAGGTATCTTATTTTAGACAAAATACAAACAAACTCAGTTATGCATTATCCCTTCTACAGCAGGTTGGGCTCTCCAATGAGGAAGATACACTACTAGTACTAAGAAGCCTCAGTTGACTCTCTAGCAATGGAGGAGGACACAGCAGACAGAACTCCAATAGCAGGTGAGTTTGAAGTCATCTAGTATATTGACTAAAGATGTTTGCAAACCCCAGTAAATCATAAGCCCTGAGGCCGCTACTGATTTTGATCTCATTAATTTAATTATTTTTATCTATGATCCAGATATGTATGCTAACCAAGGTATTAAAGAAAATAATGCACTTTTTTTTAGAAGGTAACGCACAATTAAAATAATCACCTGAAGAAATTTCCTGTGTTGAATACCTCATTCTATGATAATATTAAATAAACAACACAGTATTCTGTTAGGACCATTAAAAGGCAACTACATGTGTAAAGCAATGAAAAAGTTATTTACTTCTATATTCATTTTAATGCATAGGTCTTTGTGCAGGTCTTTATATTCAGTTGATATCAAAGACATCCATGGAAATTTCTACTTATTTGCTAGTAAAGGTTGAAAACCTAAGGAAAAATTACAAGATAAATCCAAAGGGCATACACTGAGAATCTAGGAAAATATTTAATGGCTGGAGGCACTCCTTCTGGTGGAGTTGAGATTTCCTAAGGCTCATTCTCCAGAGGTCAAGAAGCAGCTCTCAAACTTTTATCTGCTTCCACCCACAGAATAGATGGTACTTAAAAAAATTTGGATGTAAGTTTAAGCAAAGTTTGCCATAAATGCATCAGAGTCAATACAGATGTGCATATACTACTTACTCTTTCTGCATTTTCTCTTCCTTTCTTCCTTGTTCAAAGCATATCTATTAATAAAATGACAAAACAAGTTGGAAGGAATTATGAAATTATAACCCACAAATACCACCATAATTTGTACCTGTTGCTGCTATCATGAAATTTAGTGAAAAATAGGCTAGGCTTGTCTTTCACAAATGCTTTTGCTAAGACTCCACTGTGCTGTACAGAGTTGAATACTGTTAATTTTGTCCACTTGTCTCTCATTTTTCTGGAAATAGCAACTCAATTTTTCTTTGGGAAATCATCTTACTCCCTGCCTATGCAGTTGGATGGGCCTGAAATCCCGCCACCTGCCAGTTCCTTCCCTCCCACGGAGTGACTAGACTAACGAATCAGCATATTTTATTCCTCCCTGGAGGCAGGGACAGACACATGACCTTATTGATATGGAGAGACTCATTCCCAGGGTTTTGCTGGGGATATAGGGAAGGAGAGGTTTCCTTTCTGTTGGTGCTGCTAAGTTATAAGGTAAGCTGTTTTGCCACTTCATGGAGAAAGCCAACATGAAAATGAAATCAATATAAAGAAAAACAAGGCAAAAGATGGAGAGAGTCAGATTCTTGATAAGATTATTTTTAGCACCTTGATCAAACTATATCTGAAGATGTTACTCTCCTTAGGATCTTCCATATGTTAATTAATAAATTCCTTTTTGTTTATTTAAGCCAACTTGTATAGAAACTTCATCATTTAAAATCTAGAAAAATCTGGAATTTCATAAAATATAACCCAGTGAGAGAGCTATTATAGGAATAAACCATTTTTCTGCCTTAATTGAAGGAAAAAAATGCATGAACGTTGGTTCCTTAGTGGCAATTAGGTATTACTCATTTTGTGCCATTCACCTCTTGGCACTATGAGATGTCTGTGAAGGAGAGCATAAATTGAGGCAATAATTTTTCCTTTTCACATGTTTTAATTAAAGGAAGAAATTTACTACACTTAAGAATGTCTTATGATCAAGTGTCATAAGAAACAATTGGTCCCTGCCATTCATGAGAAATCCCAGCACAAAATACAATAGAACACTAAACCTCATAGGTCTTCTTGAAATATATGCTATGATGTCCCAAAGAAAAGAGTTCATGAATTAGATTGGATGTAGCCAACCCAAGTGAATATCAATAAACAAGAAATGAGATGCCTTATGTTACCTTCAAAAGCTGGTACAAATGTTATGTCATAGAGAAGCTGTTGTTTAATTAACAGCTATCGTGTGCCAGGTACTACAATAAATCTTTGCGTGCAGCGTATCACTAGCTGCAAGATTGTAGTTCCAGTGGTATTAGGGAGGTAAATATTTACACTTCTCAAAAGGGAGGATTGTGTTCAGTTTTTCTGCCAAGTAACTTGTCCTTCAGGGTCAACAAGGACATTGTAACTGGATCCACTTAAAATCTGCTTGTAGGGGAAAGGTCAACCTTTCCTCTTATTCCTAAGAAAGAACCTATCTGAAAGAATCACTCCTTTCCTACGTTTTTCTCAAGTCCTGTTTGGCCATCTTGCCCACATGCCTGCAAGTCCAAATTTTCCTTCCTCAGCAGGAAATAGTCTCTCTGGCATGTTAACAAGTCAGCCCTGCCTCAGATTAGGCTCGCCTCTGAATTCTAATCAGAAGTTATTTTTGACCCCTCAGCAGTCATTCTCAGGCATTCTTTTGTCTCAGTCTTTAACTTTCAACTCACCAAAATCAGTGTGTGTGTGTGTGTGTGTGTGTGTGTGTGTGTGTGTGTGTGCGTGCCTCTGTGTGTGTGTGAAAAACAAGTGGCTACTTTTAAACATATGAGTGGTTCTTTGCCATATCTCACAGTGGAGTCCTGTGAGCGTCTGCAAGGAAAGGAATTTCCCAGCACTGCAGGTTAATTGCAGTGAAGGAGACACGGCATAGCTGGATGACGTGTTTGATGAATCAACACAAGGATATGTGTTTACTAGGTCTATGCCAGAGAGAGCATGGCCTCCAATGTATCTTATTAGTCTCTGTTGTGTGTAATAAAATAGGCTTTGTGTGGTGGTGAAGAACATATATTCTATAGTCAGTCATATCTGGTTTTAAATTCAGGCTGAGCCACTCACTAGTTGTATGACCTCAGGCGACTTTCTGTTGGTTGGTTTCCTTGTTTGTAAAATAGGAAGAGAATAATAATAAGGAAGCTGAAAGGTTTCCATGTGATAATGTTAGCAAAGTGCTTAGCACCCAGTGAGCACTCAATAGTTCATAGTTGACCAGCACAGTGGCTCATGCCTGTAATCCTAACACTCTGGGAGGCCAAGGAGTTCGAGGTCAGCCTGAGCAAGAGCAAGTCCCCATCTCTACAAAGAACAGAGAAAATTACCCAGGCGTGGTGGCACACACTTATAGTCCCAGCTACTCAGGAGGCTGAGGCAGGAGGATTGCTTAAGTTTGGGGTTACTGTGAGCTAGGCTGACGCTAGGGCACTCTAGCCCAGGTGACAGAGCAAGATTCTGTCTCAAAAAGAAATAAAAAAGTTCACTGATAAACTCTGACCCTACCTGAAAGTGGCCGGGGCTCTGCACTTTCTCAAGTAGTCAATGTCTATTTGTCCCCTGATACAATTCTTTGGTGGCAGTTGAAGTTTAACACGAACACTTTGGCACTGTTTGTATTGAACAAAGTACTAGGAATGTGCATTGTGACAGGCATCTAAATTCTAAGTTAGAATGAAATGATACACTCACTGGATTCTCCTTCTTTCTCTTGCATTTGGAGAGCAAGTCCAGCCTGTAGGTTTAGGATGGACTTGCTGAATCTTGCCACATCTCTACACCATTGATTTAAAGCTGAGTATCTCTAGTCTCTTGGATAATGAAACTTATGTCCATTTTGGGGACCAAATCTTCCATCCTTGGAATAGAATGACTCTGAGAGGTTTCATATGTCTCCTTTACACAGAACCCAAATTAATTGACTTGAGGTTATATGGAACTATTCCTGTGCCTAAGAAGAATTAGACTCAAAGCTTTTAGAAAGTAAATAAATGTTCCCTTTTTTTGTTCAATACTGATTATCTACTGGTAAACCCAATAGTATTATTGCCAAAAAAGAATACATGATATTTGAAATCTCCCTGCTAATTTTACTTTCTTTGTATGTGATCTACTTTTAATTGTCCAAGCCTACGTTTCCGCTTACCTGTAATCCACAGCAGAAGGTCTTCCCAAGTCAATTTTCAGTTTGCTGAATACAACGTGTACTATGAAGTTTTTGTTGTTCTTTTATTCACCAGGTGAAATGTCATTTATTAATGGTTTTTAAAGCGGTTCAGATATTCCATGCTTTCTAATAGTTTACATATTTACTAATTATAACCTTTAAAACTCTATATTAGGAAAAATTTCAAACAGAAAATGTAGCAAGTATAGTATAACAACATGTATGTACGCAAAGTCCCTATCACCAGGTTCAACAATCATAAGTTAATGACTAAATTTGTCACATCTACATAGGTATTTACCATCCCTCCATTATCAGATTATGTTGAAATAAACCCTAGACAGCATGTCACTTTATGGATAAATATTTCAGCCTGTCTTTTTAAAAGATAAGTTCTTGTTTTATTTTTAATATGTCTATAATACCATGATCACATCTAAAAATAATATTTTCTTAACATCATGATCATTCAGTCTGGGTTCCAATTTCATCAAATGGATCGTACTTGTTAACTTCAGAAAACTGCTGCTTCTTTTACCAGGTGTGATTTCCAGAACTAATTGTCAAAATCTGTGGTCACCTGTTGGATGGACACTCTGTGCCTACCAAGAAGCTTTGGCAACCAAGCTGATCCACTTTTATTCAGAACTCTGGGTATTCCCTGGGATTGTTGATTGCCAAGGCCCAGGGGAGCTGCCAGCCCTGAGAAAAAGGGGCGGGGGTAGCCCCTGAAAATCCATCTACACCCATGAGACAGTGAACCAGCGATAGTGGCTAAGGGTGGGAGTCCGAGAAGGCTTTCTCTTGTCTCGGCAGTAAGCCGGGTGACGCAGGGTGTGGGCAGGGGCCCTAAGTATAGACAGTGCTGCTTAGGCCGCCTCCACACCGTCTCCCTACCCTTCAACATCAGGCAGCCTGCAGACAGAGGGCGGGGGAGGCTGCGATTGGTATCTGTCATTCAAGAATGTCCTTTTCAAGCAACACTTGGGGGAAAGACAAGGACGAGACTCCTTCAGCATGGAGGGGACACGTTATCTCATTAACACTCTCCTCACTAACCTCCCCCTCTAGCTGAGGCTGTCCCTTGAGAACAATGCTGATAGGTGC